CTATCTATCTGTGTGTGTGACGTAATCGTGTCTATATTCCTTAGGAATCTATCAGCAAACAACAAGAAAGAGGATAAAAATCTAGTGCAAATTCACGAATTTATATATATATATATATATATATATATATATATATATAACCAGGTGTATTTCATTTAGCAGACAATATATTGAATACCACAGAAAATGAAGAAATAATTCAATAACTAAGTACTATTAGATCTTGCCTCTGACTTTAGGAACCGAATGCAATTCTGAGTGTTTTCTTCCTAGTTCCTAACAAAGAAAATCAATGTCTTTCTATTTTTAACTCAAACAACAATATTTTAAGACAAAAGCATATCACTTGTTTTGCCAACTATAAACGATTCTGTTTTTGGAATAACAAATTTATTCATTCTATTTCATTCTATTCCATTTTCAAATGAGTAAACACTTTATAAAGTTATGCATTACATTAAACTACAGATTAAATTGCTGAGAAACAACGTTTCATAAGCCATAAGTTGCAGTTATATAAACAACAAATTTTAAATTGATTCAGCATTGCCCTCTCCCAAATTAAGTCCGTGTCGTTATCAGCGATGAAAGTGGAATCGACAGGACTTGTTCAATCTTCTGTATGTTCTGCAGTGTTGCCTCTGCCATAAAGAAGGCACGAATAAATGTCTACTTTCAACAAGCTATGAATTATATAGTAAAGTATGAATTACTTTAATGGCAGGTAGACTAAATGAAAGATAACACTTAACACAGACCGTAGAAAAGAGAACAAAATTAACTCCACGATAATTGCTCAAGAATTCATGAAAAACTAAAGATGACAAAAATATTTAAGTTTCGAAGAGCCATGTTTCACACTTTACATAGATATTGCCAATGTGCGTTTATTTCTGTTTCCTATGATAAAACTTTGCAATCCACATGAAGAAAATATTATATTTACATTTTACTAATTTCTTTCGAAATCTACCATTTTATTGCCAGTGCTATATTGTTAGCTATTATCCAGTTGTTTATTGTTAGCAGGTTTATATACTGTTTACATTACTCGACCTACCAATCTCATCTTTGTTGCCATATTTTATCACAACGTTTCATATCTAATGGATGTCAGTTATCAGTTATCTCTTGTTAATTCCCCTCTCTAAGTTCTCCACCCCTTTAAACAGGTATTGAACCAAAACTCTTTGGGTCCACTCCCTGAATCTGGCTAACGCCTTTATCCACTGAAGGAGACCGGCACGTACATATAGCAACAAAGATGATGATGATAGTCAGAGCAATTTAAATGATGTACATAATACCTCATCTCAGGAATATAGAAAGCTAGCAGCTTTAGGTTGACAGTTTTTTATTAGTTTGTTTTAAAGGAAGAAACTATCATTTTACTTTAGAAAAATTACTACGCTAAATCAATCGAAACATCCCTGTCTCCATTTCGCACATCCCCGTATAAGTGCAATTAGGAAACAGAAAATTAAATTAAAATACACTATTTACATTATTCGGACTATTGTTGCGACTATCTTTGTCGCCATATTTATTACGACATTTCGGCCCTTGTACACTCCGGCCTTCTTCAGGTAGTTGGAATGTCGAACTGAACCCTTTATTTCGCACACTGGGGTAGACTGTTCTACTTCCACGTGCCATCTTTAACGAATGTCAGTTATCAGTCATCTCCTGTTAATTCCCCTCTCCATGTTCTCCACTGTCTTAACCGGGTATTGAACTCACACTCTTTGGGTCCTGTCACTGGATCGAACCAACGATTTTATCCACTGTGACATGTGTCCTTGAAGACATTTGTGTATGAATTTATCGGTATTAAAAACCTAATGTCTCAGAAATCCTTTTTACCAGTTCTCATATTGCAATTTTTGGTTATTATCAAATCATGTTTTTACCAGAGCTCTCATTGCATTTTTTTGTTATTATCGCTTTTCTCTGGCATTCTTTATTATTGGTCCCCATATTGTATTCATTTCTATTCTTGGTCGTCTGAAGAGTTTTTGTGGCCTAACATATGTGCTGATTCCTTAAGTTTACGAATTTTCCAATAGTGTTCTTTGTCTATGATCTCAACTTGATCCCACATAGGGCGGTGATCTCACTTTTCTCTCCATATGTGGTTAGCCACGGCTGATTTTTCCACTTCGCGTGTTATAGCTTTCTCGTGCTCTTGAAGCATTACTTTAAGGGGGCGGCCTGTCTCCCCTTTATATTTCTTTCCGCAGCTTTTAAGAAGTGATATTGACATTATAGAGAAGGAATCTCTCAGCGCCAATCGAAATAGTGAAGGGAAATAATATCAAAATTGCATTAGGTATAAAACTGTTTCCCTACCCAACCTTGATTTCAAACTCTTCCTAACTTTCTGTGAATTCTATTTATTTTTTATATAATGCCAATAAAACTACGCTACCTATTAACGCCGTTTTTTTTCACCCTTTGAATTTTCTAATAATATTCGGCGAAATAATCAAGCTTGCTTGGAATCGAGGATTTAGCATACTAATGAGACACCTACACGTCATAACACGCCGAGATGGGATTCAATAGTTACTAAGAAGTTATTATATCCTTTCAGAGGCGAATATAACTCATCCATGAAGATCACACGAAAATAATATCAATTATTAACCTATCTCTTTCTACCGAACAAAAATGACTATCAAACAATATGTACATATGTGTTGGATCAGAGTTTAAGGCAGGAAAACGGCATTGCCTGATATAAACGAAAAGAGCGAATGGCTGATGCCGAGCAGGCAACGTTTACACATTCGGAAGACTTGGGCATTAAACAAACTAAACCAAATAAAAAAATATACCGTTCAAAGGATACCTATCTTGATTACATTGCTGATCAATTAATAATAAAATGAACGTGACTAAACCTTAAAGGCGATACCGTATTTCAGAGGAATGTAAATAACCACCAATTTTATTATAATGAAAAGAGAATTTACCTGCCTAGACATTTTTATTCATAGTGTCACTACGAATAAATAGTAAGTTTCTATAATATATCCGATACACTATATTGGATAATTTGGTTCTATCTCACTTAATACGAAATTAAAATTCCCTAAAAAGACCAATTGGGATCAGATTATGCAAAATTACTCTTATAAAAATAAATATTTGTATACTCTGAATTCTTCGGTGACATTGACAAGTTTTACAAAGAGATCAGTTCTGTCATTGATGGAAAGAAAACCAATTAAATGATTTTAATCAGCAATTTTAAATCAAGAATAGACGCAATAAAGAGATAAATTCAATAAGTCAATTGTTAGGAGGGATATAATGTGAATATGCTTTTCAAAATTGAAAGGGTTGTAAATGGAAAAGCTGAAAAACAAAACAAGAAAAGTAAGGTTATAATTCCTGATAAAGCCTAGGTAGTTAAAGATATAAAACCGTTATAAAAAAAGTTGTCCTATAATTTTGACCTGTAAAGTAAAATATGAATTTTAAATTCAGGGAAACAACATGCTTTTCAGAACAAAAACAAAACAATGGCAGATAATTGTAACATAACAGAATGTAAGATAAGTATCGTGAACAACTTCCAATCTTTGTGAAAAACTTGTAAAAACTTGAAGGTATCGATTTCCAAATATTATCAGGGAACGCTAAGGTCAACTTAACTCAAATCAACTCAACTTAATAGCAATACATAGGAAAGCAGAAAGATGAATATTAGCAAACCTCCCAAAAAAGTAGGAACTTTATTCGCAATGCATCTACGCTGACAGCAGAGAACAAGATGTTAATGAAAATTATAAAAGTTATTGAGACTATATTTGAAATTTGTCTTGAGATAATCCGATTATACAAAGATTAAATAAGGATTGGAAAACAAATGAGGCAAGGGGACATGATTATAAGTAACCCGTTTTGAGCAGAAAACCTGGGGAAAACAGGAGTAAATATAAAATAGTTTAAGCTTTTTGACGTCTTTGTATTAATATCACAATCATGGAATCATTTCAAGAAATGTTAATTTATTTGAATAAGGAAGGAAATAATATACGCATAAGAAATGCGCAAAAATAAAACATGAAAATATATTTAACTTCGAAAAGGATGAAGCATGCATATACGTAGGTCAGGTACTTTTTGATCATGTCAAAAGTATATTTATTTTAAGGATCGGTTCTTATGCATTTAATAAAAATAAATACATAATGGAAGGCGTCATGTTAGTAAACTTTAAACGTAAAGTGTAAGAACGTAAAACACTAACAAATTCTTACCTGCGTAAAATATGAACATTAACGAAATAGCTTAATTCAGAAAGACACAATAGAATGATTAATGCTAGTCATACGATTAGGACTTAGAGAATGACTTCCATGAGACCGGAAAACGATAACACTTAAATGACTAAGTTTCCAAAATGGAGCTCTGCGTAAGATCACAAAAATATACGGAGTAAATAGTCGGCTCGGTTTTTTCCCAGTTTATATAAACTGTAGCAGAATTATTTCCAAACAAAAGATAAAAAAAAGCAAGCTAAACGATTTTGGTGGTAAGATATGGGAATAAAGATCACAGTAAGGAATTGCATTGAAGTATTTTGGTAGATACTGAGAATACATTCTACGGGCAACATCAAAGCGTTCAAAATCATATATGTCCACAACGTGCAGTCTTCAGAGTTAGGAAATAACCAAGAATTGTATGTATCATATTCGATGGACTTGTGATGGCGATTAAAATGTCGAGATCAGTGGCTGTTTAGAAATAAAACTTTATGAAAACTGAAAGAAACAAATGTCTTACTACACATGTAGCGAGGGAACACATATTTTATGGAATGAGAAGAAATAAAAAGAATGAATGAATCTTCTCAAATGTTATGCATGAATAAATCAAGCGAGTCGATTATCTATAATAGTAGATTATTGGAGCAATTAATCAGGAGGAAGTGGATAATAACATTGTATTTCACACATACGTCCTGGGGATGAGAGCGTGTTTAATGTTTAACAAGAACGGAGGAGATCAACATGAAAGCTAGCGAAAAGACAACGGCAAAGAAAAACACACGCCAATATAAGACATGAGGAGAAAAAGATTATAGATATGATTGGGTAGAGACGTGATATATGATGAGGGAGTGACATGCCAACATGAGATATGATGATAAATACATGTGAGGCATGATGGGGAGAGACGTGATATATGATTGGGTAGGGAAGTGCGATATGGGAAGTGCGAGGGAGAGACATTCCAACGTGAAATATAATGGGGTGGGGAGACCTCATATATGATGGGGGAGGTACATGCGATATGATGTGTGGAGAGGCACGCCTACGTGAGATATGATGAGGAAGAGATGTAAGATATGATGTAACCGAGACATGATAAATGATGAGAGGAGAGACGTGATATATGATAGGGGAGTGACGCGCGGTATGATGGGTAAGAGACATTCTAACATGAGATATGATGAGGAGAGACCTCACATATGTTGGGGGAGGTGTGTGCATTATGATGGGTGGAAAAGCATGGAAACGTGAGCAGTGACACGCCAATGTAAGATGAGATGGGGAGAGACGTGAAATATGATGGTGAGACGTGAGATAAGATTGGAGGGAGACAAGTCAAAGTGAGATACGATAGGTAGTGATAAGTGAGAGGATAGGGGAGATACGTGAAATATGGTGCGGAGAGATATGCAACGTGAGATCTTATGGGGGAGTGATGTGAAACATGATGGGGAGATACGTGAGATATAACGGAGGAGAGACGTGAAAGATGATGTGGGGACGTGAGTTATGACGGGAATGAAACACACCAAAGTTATATATGATGAGGAAGATACGGGAGATAATATGGATTAGAGACACGCCAACATTAAATGTGATTAGGAGAGATACAGACACCAACTTAACTAGATATAACAACAATCTAGAACTCAAAAAGAGCTAGAGATTCCGGGACCCAAATATATGGAAGGAATGAAGAAAATTGCATGAAATAAGTAAAGACCTGTTCATTTTAGAATGCTTTCAAAGTCATGTTCGAGAGTCTATAAAGTGTTTAATTTAAAATAAATTAAACACAATACCAATTCTTTTAAAGGCCTGAACAATAAAAAGCTAAAATCTCAAGGATAATTTCTGAAATGTTCTTTCCTTTTTTCCTAACCATAACTTGAAAAATCTCTGCCCATCATTACACCAATGGAAAGCAAAGAACTTCCATAGAATTTCTCTTCATGGAAGGAGTGGTACCAAATTACCCTAAACGTTATTGACAGTTTATAGAAAGGACACGCTAGATGATTGTCTGTAAGTGTAGCAAAGAGATATGTTACTAGGGAAAGAAAATAATTACCCTAATGGCAGGCTTAAATGTCTAGCAAATATGAAGGGTAGATAAAAAGCAAAAGGAGTTTAATGATGGTTTAGATATCAACAGCATCACACAAATGGCTAACAAAGCAGGTAAAATCCTTTAACGAATGAGATACGCATTTTTAAAATTCATTTCATCTGAATCAAGGCGGGAATGCCAGTCGTACCCAAATGGTTACAGGGAATAAATTCGAGTGAAAAGACTGGATAAAGGGGTAACGAAGAAAGCATAAATGATGAAGGGGATCAAGAGGATAGAAGATGGCGATTGACGTTGCATTTAATTCTTTAAAGATTATGGTAGGCGGGAACTGTAAGAAAATATACTGTTAGTGTAGAAGTGACGGTTACATTTAGCTAATTCTACAGTCAAAGGGTGGGACGTAGATGCGAATCTAGTAGCACGCTTAAAATCGTTTTGAAAGTGATATATTACGATTGAGAAAGAAAGGTAGTAATATTGGAATTGTGAAACATTTTTTTTAAATTGTTATAGTGTTTGAGACGAGAAAGCAAACCACAAAACGCATTGAAAACAAAAACAACTTGAATTAGTTCAGAATATTACATTTCATTTTCCATTTCTTTCAATAGGTCTACGAGATTATATTGTAAATTACTTTGAAGATACCTGTGAAAATATCATTACTTCTGTAGAAATATGTTTTAAATATTATATGAATTAAAAGTCCATATCGCTTAGAGCGCAATATCTTTGCATATTTTCTGGCTTTTGCTCGTCTTGAACTGATACAGAATCGACCTTGAATAGCGCGTGTGACTTACAATCTGGTGTTCAATCGATAGAACGTTCTCCAGAAGCCTGACAAATTATTTCGAAGGACTCAGTTATAGATTTGTCGTTCTTAGTTGATTCAATTTTTCAACATTGGAAATATCGCAGAATCTTTCTAATACAACGTTATAAAACCTCACGTAATAGTTCAACACGTGTAGGTATCATGAAGTCTGTTTGCAGATTGACTCGGTAAGGTAGGTATTAATAACCACCTCGCGGATGATTTTGTGTAGACTATTTATATTGAATATTCTACTAAACCTGAAAGCATAATATCAAGGGAAAAGATGACTAAGTGGGAGTTAGAGTTTGACAGTAATTCCATATTGAATTTATTCTATTTGTCGTTGGGTGATGACTTGATCCTGAATGCCGATGAAAACTATGTCAATCATGTTATATTAATGCACAAGTTAGTGCAGTTTTTCACTTCTATAGCGTGCATTATTTTAATAGACAATTAAGTGCAGAAGTCTTCCATTTTCAGATTTCGACTCTGAAATCTTCAGTAAAAAACATACACACTAAATAAAAAAATAACAATTCAAGATTAAATTTGTTTTACGAATTGTATTCTTTGAGTAGTCTTTTTATTTATATTACTAATAAAGTTTCCAAAATCAAGTTTCATAAATCAATATTCTATATTTATAATACTGTTTTCTTTTGTATTATACAGTGTTTATATACAGAGATTTGGGCCACTCAGTAACGGTGTTCATGACCAGCAAATCATACGCCTATCAACCAAACTAGAATTGTACAGTTCAATGGTCCTCTTTTGTTTCCCCTCTGGATGTGATTCGGAGACATTGTAGAAAATATATACAGATATACTGGCTAAAACAGACACACGACCCGGACCACACACGCACGCGCGCGCAGACGCATATACACGCACACACGAAGCCTACACATCAAACAAGGAGGGCACATATTGATATAAATCAAATTCTGGCTAAAAGGAATATTCAAGTATTCTTTTTTTAAAAATGAATATTGTTTAGATTGTGATTAGATTGCCATAGTATGGTAAAACAATGACATCCTTGATTTGTATATAAACACTTGTAAAAAGATAAATCTTACATTGCTTTGATAAAGTCCCTCAGATGACGAAACGCGTTGGCTAAGTATTTTTTTTTCCTTTTATCACCTATTCATTTGGTACAGCTACATGTACACTGTATCTGAAAATAATTTACACGCACAAAGACACACACACAGACTCACACACAGAAACACGCACACATATATGCTCATATATATATATATATATATATATATATATATATATATATAGGTAGGTAGGTAGGTAGAAGTCATAACATAATTTACCTCCTAGAATGCACAGATGAAGTAGACTGTAGAATTCATATCGTAATTTACCTCCTAGAATGCACACTATGCCAGAAACAATATGTAGGAAAATCTTAATGGCCCTTTCACTACATAATTAATAATTATCGCAATCGAATTAAGTCGACTCCCTATGAAAAATTATTACCTGTAGAACAACATCTCCGCCTGGAAAAAACACGATTTCAAAACCCATGCCAAATTCACTATAATTGAGAGAATAGAAAAGTTCAGAGCAGATAACATTAGAAAGATTTTAGAGTTCCATGAAAATAAGTGGATACAACGTCTAAAAACACAATATTCAGCCGGGCTAAACCATAAATTTAACAATATAGATAGTACTAATATATAACTCAACAAGTCAAAACCTACCCACATTTCTCACCCACACAAGTCAGACATGCTTATGGAGGTGTTGAGGCCTCACACTTATACACACACCCACACGAATATATACACACTTACACACATCATACTCACTCATTCCTAATGAGCCAAATTATAACACACACACACAGCAATACACACGCTTACACATAACATACTCACCTGCTCCCTAAGAACCAAATAACACACGCACAAACTCTAAACAGGGACACATCCCCTCTCCAGGATCAATAAAACTGTCAAACTGACAAAGGAATTCAGAGAAGCATAGATCCATCCAGCTCTTATCTCAAATAACAGCTTAAAAGAGACTGTTTGACCAACACAAGGAATGTTAGAATATACATCTTAAAAAGATAAAAAAAAATAAAAAAAACAAATGAAAACTACAGACAAAAGTTCATTTTCTCCAGCAAGACATTCATTTCTGTAGTTTACTGCTACCAGCAAGCAGAAATATTTCTTCTCCTGATGGTGGCCATTTCGGCCGAAACTAGTCGAGGAATTTAAATGAAATAATAATAAAAAAAACGAAAAATATTAATCTACAACCCAGTGTGTCTGAAGATTTTAATTTTTTAATATTTTTTAGTGTTCAATATATATATATATATATATATATATATATATATATATATATATATATAATGGTATCATCTGCTAATATATTTCATAATGATCAGAGAATACTCTTAGGCAGGTCGTTAATATAAAGCAGTGTAGGACCGAGGATTGATCATTTGATGGCATCACCTCTATTAGCATCATGGAACTTAGAAGATTCGCGACATTGATCTACTGGACAGGAACTTCTTGATAATTAGGACGACCATTTTCACAGGAAATGTGTATTTATGGATAAGACATCAGAAATATACACAGAGAAGCGAAATCGATATTATTTGTCTATCAGAAGGCTGTTTCTATTGAAGTGATCAACGTTCTTATTGTTCGAAAAATTTTGTTAACAGATTTTTCTGATGGGGTGATGTTGTGATGGAGATGAGTACTCTCCGACGTACTTTATAATTGAAGTGAATAAGTATAACTACTATCTACCATATACTTTGGAAGCATTTCTTCAGTCATTCGTTAAAATATCACGAAATGTAGAAACTGTTATGTGTTGATGTCAGTCGACCCAATAATTTCTGAGCGACTGTTCGGTTAAACTCTCTTCCTACGGGCGGGAGGAACCCGAAGGAGGCTACGCCGAAGGGCGGATTCTCCTTCGGCGAGGTAAAACCAGCCCTGGACCCGTTTATACGGGTTTAAATGGGCTATTTTTTGGCCGAGCCTAATGGCTCGGAAATGCCCACGTTAAAAAGGCCTTGTGCCACATGACACCCTCGTGCGGGGGGAGTGACTGAATATCGTCATCCAGTTAGATGTGAAATTCGTGGCGAAGAGCAGTGTCATATCTAACGAGGCCAAAACTAACAGTTTGTCGCTATTGAGGATCATATTTGCGATATTCCAGACTTTGTGACAACCAACATTTAACATTTTAAAAAATTTAATTACTTGTGATCAACTGCTCTTTTATTTTCTATAGCTTTCTTGGTGTTGTAGAAGGTTTTTC